GGAGCGGGGCAGGCAGTACACGAAGGCGTAGTTCAGGACGTAGCGCTTCAGCTCCTCGGTGGGGAAGCCGTCGGCGTGCCTCCAGGCGCAGCGCAGGGCCTGGCGCCAGGTGCTCATCTCCGGCGTGCGCAGCTGGCCGATGTAGGGCACCGCCTCCGTGGCGTCCTCCGGGTTGCTGGTCCAGGGGCAGAACAGGAGCAGGATCTTCATGATGTGCTCCTCCTCGCTGCGGCTGCCGAGCGCGCCGTACAGCACCGGCACGCGGGGTCGCTTGCGTGGAATGATCACCCAGTCGTGGCGATGCCTCTGAGCTGAGCTGCCTTTGCCCAGCGGCATCCAGTCCTCGCCGCCTTCCTCCCGGATCAGGTAGTCGTCGCCGCTGTCCAGTGCGTTCTTGCCCTTGTTTTCGCTCAGCTTTGTCGTGCCGCTTTCCGTCAGCAGGGCGTGGAAGGGGACGTCCGTCGCTCCGCGGGCCAGGGCGTCCGTGGCGCGCTCTTGTCTTTCCACCGTCCACGGGTGGCGGGCAAGCTGGATTTGGTAGTAGCGCGCAAACTCGAAGGCCGAGAGGGGCCGGACGCGCGGATCGTTTCCACGGTTCCCGTAGACGGTCCACAGCTGCGGCCGGGCGACGACCTTTCTTTTGCCCTGCGTGTTTGAATTCCTGTGAAGGTCGCTTTGAAGTTGTTCTCGCTCTTGCCAGGGTCGGTTCTCCATGGCATTTCGCAAGAGCTCCATCCCGGTCTTGAGGGACATCTCCGTGACCTGGGCGGTCTTGATGGTTTCCGCCGCCGTGGGGTCGTTGCTGCCGGCGTTGTCGATCAGGTTCGCGCACTCCACGGAGCCGCGGACGACGCCGCGGGCGAAGGCGTCGGTCATGAGGCGCTTCGAGACTCGGGCGCCCACGTAGCCGCTGGAGGGGTTGTTCTGCAGCTCCGCTTGCAGATCGTTCTGGCTCTTCTTCCACTCCTGGACTTCGTTGACGGCGATGGGATTGCGCTTGTTGCTGTAGTCGCAGGCGTAGCCCGCCTGCGCGGCCTGGTTCACCTGGGCCTGCTGGGTCATTTCGCGCAGGCTGGCTTGGGCCGGGCAGTCCTTGTCGCAGTGTCCGGACAAGGCGTGGAGGTCCTCCGTGATCGGGAAGCGATAGGGCACCTGCACGTCGCCGTTGCAGCGGAGGGCGGCCAGCAAGGCGGGGTGGTTGCCGTTGAGGTTCGGGTCGTTGCAGGGCCCCCACAGGCGACCGAGAGCGCTGCGCTTGCCCTTCACGGGCATGCCCATCTCCTCTGCCAGGCCTTGGCACACCAGCGTCGTCGTGTCGGTCAATTGCATCTCGCGCGGGAAGCCCGACTTGCACTTGGTGGGGTCCTTCTTGTCGCGGCAGTGATCCAGCGGCAGACGCGGGCCGCCCGGTTTCTTGGGCAGGTGCACGTGGTGCTGCTTCAGCTGCTGCAGGGCTTCCACGTCCTCGTCCAGGAAAAGCCGCCGCCAGGTTGTATCGTCCATGGACGCGTCGGCCTTCTGGTAGTCCGGGCGGCTCAGGGCCAGGAGGGAGTCGCGGTAGGCGGGCCACTTCTCCTCCGTTTCCTGGCGCTTGTTTTCCCATTCTTCTGGATCGCGGTAGATGGTGCGGCTGACGTGGGCGGTGTACGTGCAGTACTTCTGGAAGAGGTCCATCTTGTGCTCCGGGTTCAGCGCGAGCAGCTCCGAGAGGGATTTGAACTGGTGGAAGCACTGGAGGAAGAGCTGCGGGCAGGGCAAGCATGCGGCCGTGGTTTCGGTGTCGTGTCTCGTTTTGTGCCTCGATGAATCTAGAGATTGCTGGTTCTCTCGCTTTTCGTGCGTGCGTGTGTGTTTGTTGTGCGTTGCTGGTCTATAGTTGTTGTCTGAGGAGAGCGGGCCTGAAAGTGGATGTGCAGCACTCCGGACTTCTGGCACTCGATGGAGCCGTAGGCGGCGTCGAGTCGGCCGAAGATGCCCCCGCACGCCATGGCGTTGCTGCCGAACGCGTCCGTGCAGGGATTGTCGGAATTCCCGCAGTCGGGGCACTTCGGGCAGTAGCGGACGCCGAAGAGGTGCCGGAGCGCCATCTGCACCAGGACGCGGAAGCCGTCCGCGCAGGCCACGGGGTCTTTGGTCAGCATGGCTCGCCGCTCGTCGTAGGGCGGCAGCTCCGCGGCGAGTGCTTCCGGGTTCAGGCTGCAAAACTCCACGTCCAGCTCGGGCTTGCCGCGGCTCTGTGCGGCACGGTTGGTCTGGGACTCCTGGCTGAGGCTGGGGTCGGATTGCCGGGCGCGGGCCAGGCGCAGCATCACCGTGTTGTCTCGCTCGGACGGGGAGAAGGTCACGAAGAGCGGGGTGCCGTGGCAGACCCGATTGGCGTGGGTTTGGTGGCGCATGGTCGCGCGCACCTCGTGGGTGCCGGGGGTGTTCCGGCTGCGCGCCACCGTGTTGTCCAAGACCTGCGGCTTTTTCTGGCTTTCGTTACATCATTATAAGGGTTCCGAGCCTACGTATGCAAGTTTTTTCCCCGGTTGTACTATAGTCTTTACCTGCAGCTTCTGTTGGTGTCGTCGGTTGACAAGCTGGGCTCTGGCAGTGGTTTTCCTGTTTTGCGCGCCTTCACGGCTGCCGGCTGCAGTCCGGTGGCGAAGCGCACCTTGCTCAGGTCTCCGTTGATGGCCTTCGTCTGGCCGTTGACTTCGAGGTACTTCCCTTTGACCAGCTCTTTCTGGATTTGCTTGCCGCCGTCCAGGATCTCTTGGCTGGTCAGTGCTCTGCGTCCGTTGTTGTCGTCGGGGACGCTGTAGATGAAGGTGTTCTGCTGCAGGTTCACCATGGTCCTGAAGAGGTAGTTCCAGAGGGTGAAGCCGAAGGTCCAGTCCCGCCGGAATTGGGTCTCGGCTCGGCGTTGCATGGCCGCCGCCCACGCGTGGATTTCCACTTGGGGGGCGTCGGGGTTCCTGCTCCTCCGCCGTTGCTGCCGGTCGTTGCGGGCTCCCTGCTGGTTATTCTTGACGTCGGGACAGGCGGTGCCGTGTGCGAAGCAGAAGCTGAAGGCCGTGGCGAAGTAGAGCGGCTGGAACTGGTCCACGAGCATGTTGCTCGTGCGCACCTCGTAGGTCTCCAGGATCTTCTCGTTCTTCTGCTTGCTTCGGAGCTGGTCCTCGAGGTCGTTCAGGGCGGCCGTGGCCACGGCGGTCTGGTCCTCTCGGTCTTGGTTGCAGCCTTCCGGAAGAACGGCGCGGGCGCGCTGGTTGGCGAAGATGGTGCCGGCTTGCTGCACGTCTTGTTCCGGGGCGTCCGTGGGGGCCGCCGCCTTCTGCGGCTGCAGTTTGTGGCTGGTCTCGTCCTCTTCTCTCATGCCGTGGATGACCTTCAGCACCTCCGGGGGCACGCCGCCCTCCGGCAGCTGTGCCGCGGCCTCGCGCACGGCTTCTTGTCGCAGGTGCTGAAAGGCGGGGTGGCCAAGGCGTTGCATGTCCAGGATGAGGTTGACGACCACTTCCCTCCGCACCGTCGCTTGGTGGAGCAGGGTTTTGATTTCTGACTCGCTGGTCTTGCCTGTTTTGTTGGTCTTCAGGAGGACCCTCACCACGTCGCCGAGTGCCGCCCCTGCGCGTGGGATGTTCGTTGGGGGCGGCTCTTCGTTTGCCGCTGCCGCTCGCTGCGTTTCCGCCACTCCTTCCTCGTGCGCTTGGAGGTTGCGCAGCACGTCTTCCCATGGCAGCGGGACGGTGAGGGCGTTGCCCCGGGCTCCGAGGCGGTGGTTGGCGTTCTGGGCTTGCTCGTCTAGGGTGGTTCCCTCGCTGCGGTGCCGTGCTTCCATGGCCATGCAGACCAGCGTGGTGACGCAGGGGCTGGCACAGATCATCTCCATGACGGTGACCTTCTCTTCGTGTAGGCGTGCTGACGAGTAGCCGGTCCACATGTCGTTGCACAGGCTCAGGGGCGGCAGCCGGCCCTTTCGCAGCTGCTCGTCGCACTCGCTGCAAAGGGGCACTTCGCAGTGCTCGCAGAGTGTGCGCTGGCTGGGGTGCTCGGGGCGGGCTTGGCATCGATGGTCCTCCGGGCAGCACAGGATGTTGCCGAATCCGGGGATGGTCACCGTCCAGTCGTCGAAGTTGGCCACGTCTCTGAGCTTTGCGTCGCCGGCCAGGTCGTCGTAGTAGTCGAGGTATTTGTCGATGCTCAGCAGCTCGTGCAGTTTTGCGGTGGTCTCGGCGTGGTTGTCGTCGTTGCTGCCGGGGCTCTGGATGAGTTTGCGCCAGCTGATGCGGCTGCTGGCCGCCATGTCGGCTGTGCGCGGGTGAATGCAGGCGCAGCTGAAGCAAATGAGCGATTCCACGTTGTCCTTGCTGGTGGCCTCGGCGAAGCTGCGCAGCGCGCTTCTGTCCCGAGAGCTTCCCGCGACGGGCGCGGCCTCTCTGCATCGAAGTGCGACGGCCTCGTTGTAGACGCTGGTCAGGGCGTCTTTCGGCAGGGGCCCGGGCATGTGCTGGGCCACCAACTCCAGCTCCGGTGCGTGAGAGGCCTTGACATGCTCGTGGAGCTTTTCTTCCGTCCCAGAGAATAACGACCATTTGCATCCCTGGAATGCGCAGAAGACCTGCGGCCAGGCTTCGCCCTGGTCCACGTTCTCGGCTTTGGCTTCGGGTGGTATCAGTGGCTGGGCTCGCAGGTGGGTGCTTGCGAAGTGCTTGAGCGCATTTTCCAGCTTTCGTCGGGGGTGGTAGTGGGTGGGCTCCGTTGACTCCGTTGCAACGGGCATGCTGGTCAGCTCTTCGAGGAGGCTGGGTCCTTCCTCTGCTGCTTGGGGGGGTGCCGCCTCTGGGTTCTCTGTGGCTCCTTGCGCCTGACCTTGCCGGGTGCGCTGAGCTTGGCCGGCTGCGGTTCTCTGGCGCTTGGGCGGGCGCGGCTCTGGGTGGGGTGGTGGTGGTGCTGCTGCTGGTGGTGTTGGTGGTGGTGTTGGTGGAGTTGGTGGTGGTGGTAGTGGTGGTGGCGTCTGGTCAATGGGCACGAGCACATCGTAGTGGTCCTTCCCGTTGAACCAGAGGTGGATTGCGTGATAATAGACGTTCGGTACTGCGTGGGGGTGCCGTCGGGCCTCTTCGCGCACTTCCACATGCGTGCGCTCGCTCGTGCAGATCTCGCCGTCCGACGCCCGCCAGTGCAGGAACGCTTGCTGCTGTCTCATGAGGGTGAAGGCGACGATGGCCGTGTCGCCGCCCCAGTTACTCGGGTTTCTTTCGAGGTGTTCGGCTTCCTCCAACCAGGCTTCCACTTGCTCTTCGTGCTCTTGGGACGCCGCGTTCTCCTTCAGGTACTGGATGATCTGGGAGCGCAGGTGGACCCCGTTCTCGCCGCTTTTCTCCGCGAGCGCGTGGAAGATGCAGTTGCCGTCGCCCGTCATCTTCTTCATGGTCAGCATGCCCCGAAAGTGCTCCTGTCAGGTGTAGAGCCGTCGCTAGAATGGACCTTCTTACATCATAATGGAGCCCCGAGCGATGAAACTGGCCTCGATGCTGGGGCCGGGCTCCGATTCGTGGTCGGAATCCGGCCCGGCGCCTCCTCGTCGCGCAGTCGGTTCTGCACGAAGTCGTCCAGCGGTGCTTCTTGCAAGCGTTGCTGGATGGTTGTTGTCGCTTGCAGTCGCGGTGGCGGTTGTTCTTTCGGCCTGCACAGCGGCACACGGTTCGAGAGAAGGGGTGCGTGCATGCGGTTTCGAACTCGCGCGCTGCTATAAGGTCACCCGAGTCGGGGGTCAAATCATCTCTTTACGTGACATTAAGTTCTTGGCGTCGAAGCATGCGGCTATGTGTGTAGATATATATGCTTCTGGCTATCCGAAGAATATAGAACCTAATTTGTTGCAGAGCAAGCCGACGGCGGGCCTGCCTCGATGCTGGGCCCGCTTTGTTCCGTGGCGTTCGCATTGGCGCCGCCCCGTCGTGCTGCAGCGCCGCGATGTCCATGAGGACGGCCCACCGCGGCATCTGAATCGGATTGCTCCGACAAAGCTTTTGCGGTGACCCTTTCCGCCTGCAGCCGCATTGATCGAGGAGCTGCGCGGCTGAAGTAGGCTGCGTGCCGCGCCTCTGCCATTTGGAAAGCGTCTTCGAGTGCGGAATCGTCCTCGGCCGTCCACTTTGTTGGCTTCGGTGGTCTCGGCGCTGGAGCCTGCAGACTGATTAATGCACAGTCTCTGCGTCTTCCAAGCGTTCTTTTCAACCCTCAAGGCAGTGCCTTTTTGCGTCGGTGCGCCCGTTGCTGTCCACTTTGGCCACTGGCCGACCTTCGTGTCCGGGATGTCGTCGGATGCGTCTTCCATGCCTCGGTGCGGGCACATTGCGGTGGAGGCTGCTCGAGGGTTCCAAAGTGAGTCCGCTAGCTATCGCTGCCGTCGAAAGCTTGGCGTGGAGCCTCGTCGATTTTGATCATTCCGGCCTCGCTGGGTTTCCCACAGAAGCAACGGGATTCATAGGACGGCAGGTGCTTGCATTACTGTGGTCGAATGCAGTTCTGGGGCGGTGGCTGGCGTCTTCAGCGTCAAGGAACACTGCGTTGCCAGGTATTGCCTCTTGAACTCCTCGAAGTTGAAACACCATCCGGTCCCCTGCGCGCGCCAAGATCCGGCCGTCTGTCTGCCTTCGTCTCTGCCTTTTTGTTCACTCTCTCTCCCTCTCTCTCTCTCCCTCGGTAAACAGGAAGATAGGGACTGAGTGCGAGCGAGTCTGTATGCCTTGACTGCTAGCTTCCTGCATGCCACCTGTTCCTCCTCGTCCTCGACATCGGCCCATCGGCGGCGGTTGCTCGGGTACATTTCCGTTTGACCTGCAGGGCCGGCGGAGAAGGTTCTGCTGCCATTCCTTCCTGCTTGCTGTCGGAAGCGGCTTCGGCCTGTATAGTCGCCGAAAGGTGCGGAACTTCTGCTCTTGATGCTCTTGAGCGCGAATTGGGCTGCGGTGCCAAGCTAGTGCTACTAGTGTGCTCTCATTGCAGGCATGATGGCAGTGCCGTTGGCTTGCAGCTGGTTCCAAGCAATTTTTCCGCTCGCTCCTTGCCGTCCCGTCCCAATCACTTCCACCTATTTCAATGGGCCGGGGCTGTCTCGAACAAGGCAGCGGTCTTCTTGTCCAGACCGTCCAACTCAAGCCAGCCAAGATCCGATGCCGTCCCATACTTTTTCCAGGTGGCTTGCGAATCCGTAGACAGGCAGGGGCTTGTTGATGCCGCGAAGGACGGAGTCGCCGCACATGGCATAGTGCAGGGCATAGTAATGGACTTGCATGCACTCGCGCCCTCCTCGTTCGTAGAGCTCCCTGCCCACTCTGCGCTGGTCCAGAAAAGCTGTTTGGCATCTCTGGCCTGCTGATTTCCACAAGGTACGGAAGGAAGGGTAGTGGAACCAGCCCAGCTTCTTGGGTGTCCAGCCCAGGTGCCTCATGAGTTGGGAGAAAGTCCGGGAATCTTCTTCGGCCGGGCCTTCGTGATCTGCCGCGTCGCGAAGCCAGGCCTTCATGGTGTTTTCTGAAGGACAAGGATGGCGTTGCACGAAAGCGGCGAGTTCTTGCTCTTCCCGAAGGACTTGGGCACGAAGCTCTGCGTCTAGCGGGAGAGGCTGACTCGGCTGCACGAAGATGCTTGGCCGTATCGGTTGCTTCGGGGATGTTGGCGGAGTGGGCATTGAAAAGCTTTCTTCGTCGCTGCTGCTGTCGGGATGGTCCCATCTGGTGTAATCGATTGCCGCCATCCTGCTACACAGCAAAACGCCCTGGTCTCGAAGGGCCTTACCTGCTTGATTCTCAAACCTTGGGCTGCAGCAGGCATGGGCAGCTCAATCCCTTGGGCTCTGGACTCAATCCAGAATTTTCACAAGCGCATGGACTAACGAGGACAGCTGCGCAGTACACTCCATTGTTGCCCGGCTCGGGGAAAGGTCGCGATGTAGCCGTAGCCGTTCTGTGAAACTGATGTTGTCTGCGGCTCTCAGGATCACTTCGGGCCCTGCAAGCAAGCTAGATTTCGTGATACAGCTCAGCCGAGTTGCGACCAGCGCAATACCTTGGCAGGCACATGCTGGCCTACGAAACGTAGGGAAAGGCTTGTGCGGACTCGAGGTTTTTGCGTTTAGATGCAGTCTGGAGGCGGCTTTCGCCTCATCCGACGGCCTTAGCTTCGACCGGGAAATCGATGCAAGCATGGCACAAGCCTGACGCAAGCAAGCTCTAGACGTGGGCGTGCTTGCTTGCAGCCGAGTTGCGACCAGAGCAATATACCTTGGCAGGCACGCGTTGAGTCAATATGCAATGCATGAGCATGTGCGACGTCGCCCTCGTACCTTGGCTTCGGAGGGGAACTCGATGCAAGCATGGCACAAGCCTGACGCAAGCGCACTCTGGACGTGGACATGTTTGATTGCAGCCGAGTTGCGACCAGAGCAATACCTTGGTGGACGCATGCTAGCCTACGAAACGTAGGGAAAAGCTTGTGCGGACTCGAGGTTTTTGCGTCTAGATGCAGTCTGGAAGCGGCTTTCGCCTCGTCCGACGACTGTTTCGGGCTCTCGCTGGACCTCTGGCGGGAACTGTTTCGGGCTCTCCTGGGGACTGTTTCGGGATTCCGCGGGGACTGTTTCAGACTATTTGGGGCTCTCGCGCGGACTGTTTCGGGCTCTCCTGGGGACCGTTTCGGGCTCTCGTGGGAACTGTTTCGGGCTCTGGCGGGGACTGTTTCGGGCTCTCCCAGGATTGTTTCGGGCTCTCGTGGGTACTGTTTCAAGTTCTCCCAGGATTGTTTCGGGCTCTGGTGGGGACTGTTTCGGGTTCTGGGCGGACTGTTTCGGCGTCTCGTGGCCGCGAAAGGTTTCCTTCTAACGCCCCAATAAGCGAAACACTTCTGCAAGAGGTTTATTTTCCTAACGCCCCAATAAGCGAAACAATTCTGCAAGAGATGTTCATTCCTTATAAAGCCCCAATAAGCGAAGTAATTCTGCCGGAAGTTTTCCTTCCTAACGCCCCAATAAGCGAAACAACTCTGCAAGCAATTCTCATTCCTAACCCCTAAAAACTCCTTGAAAGGCTTGTGCGGACTCGAGATTCTTTCGTCTAGATGCAGTCCGGAGGCGGCTCTCGCCTCGTTTGACAGCGCTGGTTGTACCTTGGCTTCGGCAAGGAAATCGATGCAAGCATCACGCAAGCACGACGCAAGCACGCTCTAGACGTGGACATGCTTATTTGCAGCCGAGTTGCGACCAGAGCAATACCTTGGCGGGCACATGTTGAGAGAGCGAAACCTTAAACCCTAGGACCCCTAAACCCTAAACCCTAGGGCCCTAAACCCTACGAAACCCTAAACCCTAGAACCCTAAACCTTCAACCCCAGGGCCTTAAACCCTACACCCTATGGCCCTAAACCCTCAGCCCGAGGGCCCGAACCGTAGCACCCTAGACCCTCAAAGAGAGGGCTTTCCTAAACCCAAAACCCTAGGGCCCTAAGCCGAAAACCCTCAACCCTAGACCCACCTAGGGCCCTAAACCTTGAAAACCCACAACTAGCACCTTCCCGAAAACCCACAAACCTAGCACCTTCCTAGACCCTAAACCCGAAACCTGAACCTTAAACCCTAGGATCCAAAACCCTAAACCCTGAGCTCGAAACCCTAAACCCTAGGACCCTGAACCCGCAACCCTGGTAAACCCTACACCCTAGCTAGGCTAAACCCTAGGGCCCTAAACCCTAAACCCTGGGGCCCGAAACCCTAAACCCTAGCACTCCAAACCCTCAACCCTTGGGCCCGAAACCCTAAACCTACAAGCCTAGGGACTGAAACCCTACAATCTAGGGCCCTAAACCCTAAACCTCCGGGCCTGACACCTAACCCTCAACCCTAGGGCCTTAAACTCTAGGGTCTCGGGCGCGAAACCATCAAATTTAGGACCTTCAACTCAACCCCAATCCCTACACCCAAGGGCCCCCAAACCCTAGATTTCTAGGAATTAGGACCCGAAACCCTCAACTTCAACCCTACACCCTGAACCCCTAAACCCTAAACCCTAAAACCGGAAACCTTAAACCCTAGAACCTTAAACTTAAACCTTCAACCCATCTTCATTCCTAAAGCCCCAAGAAGCGAAGTAATTCTGCCAGAGGTTTTCCTTCCAAACGCCCCAGTAAGCGAAACAACTCTGCAAGCAAATTCTCATTCCCAACCCTTAAAACTCCTTGAAAGGCCAGGCGGCTCTCGCCTCATCTGACGGCGCTGATTGTACCTTGGCTTCGGCAAAGAAATCGATGCAAGCATCACGCAAGCATGACGCAAGCACACTCTAGACGTGGACATGCTTGTTTGCAGCCGAGTTGCGACCAGAGCAATACCTTGGCGGGCACATGTTGAGTTAACGTATATGTTGATCATGGGGAGTGTGAAGATCCTTGAAGGCACCCCCCGGATGGATGATTCATGGTGAATCCGGGATAGCCTTGTTTCAGAATGCCTTGTCAGAGAGTGTCCCTCAGTACACGCTCCTACTTCCGTAGCCCGTGCCGGATAAGAATGGCAGAGAGGCTTCACCTGTGCTGGGTTCGCCGACTTCGGAGGAGTCGACAGCCCGGTAGTAACGCGCACTCGCCATGCGAGTACACGCGTTCCCTTTAACAGGTTGGACGGAAGATCCCGGCCCGTGGCACTGAGGAACGAATCCTCGCGCAAAGCGCGGCCGTGGCACGCACCCCGAAAGTATGGCCGCAGCCTTTCGGAAATGCTCGGGAAAGCATCCTCGGCCTTTTTAGGTATGTGGAGGCCGCTTCGCTAGTCAATTGGCGCGTACAGCAGTCGCTGTAGTTCAACGCCATACTAGCTTCCACAAGGACAGCAAGGATGCCCCCTTAGGGGGCGAGCGGAGCGTCCAGAAACGCACTGTGTGTACGGGGGGGGCCGGGGGGCCCAGATTGTCACTTTTGTCGGCGTTCACAAATTGTGAAAAGGACAAGACAGACTCGCGTGACAATCTGGAGGGCCGGCCCGTGTGTATATTTAGTCGCGCTTGTCCTTTTCGGAAAAGGACAAGCAGCTCTAAATCCAGGATTTTGTGCATGTAGTCGCGCTTGTCCTTTTCGGAAAAGGACAAGCAGCTCTAATTCCAGTTTTTGAAAAAAAAAAACAAAGAAAAAAAAAACAAAAAAAAAAAAACAATAAAAAAACAAAAAAAAACAAAGAAAAGAATTTGAGGGGAAGTCGCGCTGTGTCCTTCTGCGAAATGACAAGCAGCTCTAATCCCGGGTTTTTTGTGCATTTACTGCCAGAGGAGGTCGTCGCTTGTCCTTTTGAAAAACAAACCAGGCTCTAAATCGAGATTTTCTATTTATTGCTTCCGGAAATTTGGAAAATTGCTGGTGATTTTCAAGTGACAAATTCTGTTCATAAAATGTGCCTTTTAAATAAGGCCGGCCGCGAATCTCGAGGTCCCCCCCTTTCTTTTCGTGTGGCTGCTCTTAGCCTTCCGTTTTTCTACATTTAGTCGCGCTTGTCCTTTTCGGCAAAGGACAAGCAGCTCTAAATCCAGGATTTTGTAAATTTAGTCGCGCTTGTCCTTTTCGGAAAAGGACAAGCAGCTCTAAATGTACACACGGGCCGGCCACCAGATTGTCATTTTTGTCGGGGTTCACAAATTGGGAAAAGGACAAGACAGACTGGCGTGACAATCTGGAGGTCCGGCCCGTGTGTACATTTAGTCGCGCTTGTCTTTGCGGGAACAGACCGTAAGCCCATCACTCTAAATCCGATTTTGTGCATTTTAGTCGCGCTTGTCCTTTTCGGAAAAGGACACAGCAGCTCTAATCAGGCATGGGATTTTGAAAAAAAAAAAAAAAAAAAAAAACAAAAAACAAAAAAAAAAAAAAAAAAGAAAAAAAAAAAAAAAAAACGATTTAGTCGCGCTTGTCCTTTTCGGAAAAGGACAAGCAGCTTTAAATCCAGGATTCTGTACATTTAGTCGCGCTTGTCCTTTTCGGAAAAGGACAAGCAGCTCTAAATCTAGGATTTTGTGCATTTAGTCGCGCTTGTCCTTTTCGGAAAAGGACAACCAGCTCTAAATCCAGGATTTTCCATTTCTTGCTTCCGGAAATTTGGAAAATTGCTGGTGATTTTCAAATGACAAATTCTGTTCATAAAATGTGCCTTTTACTTAAAGCCGGCTGCGAAAATCCGAGTCCCCCCATTTTGGCGGGTGGCCGCTCTTAACCTCCTGTTTTCCTTCTCTACATGGTCGCCGCTTTTCTTTTCGGCAAGGACCAAGCGCTCCTACATCCATGATTTTGGTTTTTACGATTTAGTCGCGCTTGTCCTTTTCGGAAAAGGACAAGCAGCTCTAAATGTACACACGGGCCGGCCACCAGATTGTCATTTTTGTCGGGTTTCACAAATTGGGAAAAGGACAAGACAGACTGGCGTGACAATCTGGAGGGCCGGCCCGTGTGTACATTTAGTCGCGCTTGTCCTTTTCGGAAAAGGACAATTAGCTCTAAATCCAAGATTTTGTGCATTTAGTCGCGCTTGTCCTTTTCGGAAAAGGACAACCAGCTCTAAATTCGAGATTTTCTATTTCTTGCCTCCGGAAATTTGGAAAATTTGCTGGTGATTTTCAAGTGACAAATTCTGTTCATAAAATGTGCCTTTTACTTAGAGCCGGCTGCGAATCTCGAGGTCCCCCCTTTTCTTTTCGTGTGGGTGCTCTTAACCTTCTGGTTTTCTAC